AAACCCATGGGTTTATTCGTGAAAAAAACCCGGGGTAAAACCCACTGGGTTTGAAAAACTTAAACCCAACCCAACCCGCTGGGTACCAGTGGGTTCATGGGTACCCACGGGTTTTTGTCGTAAAAAATTAACAATAACAAGTTCCTATCAAAATTAAAGTCAAATATCAATATCTCAATACAAATTATCCATATATAAAACACCATTCTAGAAAATTCAGGCAAATCACAAATTAAATATACAAATTGTTCAACACCAATCTAGAAAACTGAAGAAAATTGAAGCAAATCACAAATTATCCATAAATAGCATGATTAATTGAAAGCTTATTCTTTTCAATTAAGTTTCTCCACTCTCCACTCGATAACATCAACTTCATTCTGCACAATTTGAAAGAAAAATTAGACATGTCTCCACAATTTGTTGCCATCCCTACTTCCCTCTTCCCCTCCCTGCACGTTTTCATCCCCTCCTTTGCTGCGAATTTTATTTCTGTTTTATCACTTTTGTTTTTTTTAGCCAAGTTTTTTTTAACCAAGTTTGGCTCCCAAAATCTTAGAATTTAACACTTTGGCTCTTTAGCTTTTGTCATTAAAGCCCAAAAGTGCCAAAAATTGACACTTTGCCCCTAGCATTGTAGATAGTCTTAAGAACAATAGGTGCGCAATAGATCGGAGAGGGGCAACTGGTGGATGGATTCTATTTGGCTAGCTTGCAGACTCCCTTCCATATCTCTCTCTCTCTCAAATTGATGAAAAACTATTCATTACAAATCCTCGATCATATTTTAGATCTTGATTATGATTAGCTACTTGATTAATGGGAGCTCTAGATGTGTAAAAGTATGTATTTTTGTAAAATGGTAGTGATTTTTTCGTAGTGGTAGTGTTTTTCCTTATTGGTATTGTTTTTGTCGCATTGATATTGATTATCATGTAATGGTATTGATTTGCATGTATTGGTATTGATTAAATATGCAATGGTATTGGTGTTTTGTGCAATGATAGTGTTTTTTTAATGAATTTGTATTGGTTTATTGTTTTATGTTGCAGCGGTAGTAGTTCGACTCAACGAAATCAAAGAAAAGATTGAGAAAAAAAAGGAAGATAAATTTGGTGGAAGATTATGGAAATGAAAGAAAGAGAAAGAGAAAATTTTAGTTAATAAATTTATGTAACTTCCTAAAATATCATTTATTAAAAAAGAAATTAATAAATATTATTTATCATACCCAATTTTCCCTTAATAACCATGGTGATTACTAATCCATAGTAATCACCATAATAACCCCACCCTTGGGATCTCCTATAGGCATGACATGGATCGGGTTTTGCCAAACCCAAACCCTTGGGTTTATCCAAGAAAAAAACCCGGGGTAAAACCCATTGGGTTTGAAAAATTCAAACCCAATCCAACCCGCTGGGTATCCACGAGTTCATGGGTACCTATGGATTTTTGTCGTAAAAAATTAACAATAAAAAGTTCCTCTCAAAATAAAATTCAAATATCAATCTCTCAATACAAACTATCCATATATAAAAGGGTAAATACAATTTAATATCCAAACCTTTCATTTTAAACAATATAATAGCCAAACCTTTTCGAAAACAATCTAATATCCAAATCGTCAACTTTCCGTTCGTTTAACCGTTAGTTGACACTTCAAAAAACTTTGTTTAGGGGAAATTGTCACAATACAACTTTGTTTTCTTGTTTTGGCATTGCAGATGACTGAATATTTAGATATTCTATACCATCATGGTGGAGTCATGGACTTCTCGGGTTCGAAACAACGATATGTTGGTGGTTTTTTAGAGAAGATATCGATGGATATTGATGAAGTGTCGTACTTCTAACTTTTTTGAAGTGTCAACTAACGGTCAAACAAACAGAAAGTTGACGATTTGGATATTAGATTGTTTTCGAAAAAGTTTGGATATTATATTGTTTAAAATAAAAGGTTTGGATATTAAATTGTATTTACCCTATATAAAACACCATTCTAGAAAATTTAATCGGCTAAATTGCAAGTTTGGTCACTAGAATTACTCAAAAATTTCACGTTTGCCACTGAAATTAATTTATTGCGTCCGTAGTCACTTAAATTAAGTTAGCAGTTCAAGTTTGGTCACTGGCCGTTAGTCTCTGTTAACTTTTGCTGATGTGGCGGTCAACTCTTATAGTTGACCGTTAAATGAGTGACGTGGCAATTAAAATAATAATAAAAAATAAAATTTAATTATTTTTTTATTTTTCACCTAATTATTTTAAAAATTAAAAAAGAAAATCCTAAATAGCATCGGCTTCCACTCTTTCCTCCTCCTTCAACAACGGTGGCGGCGGTGGGGACAACACCGTCACTGCCACTCCGACGGCCGGCGAAGAAGCCTCTGAGTGGGCTAAGGAGCTGCAGCCTATCCCAGCTGGCCTCGAGATTGTTTCCTCCAGATGCGGTCTCGGGTTGGAAGATTGGGAGAACATGTTGTCGGAGCCCACTCAGGAACAATCCCTCCTCCGGTGGATCTCCGGCGACGTCGAGGACTCCTCTTTTGGTTTCAAGCACCTCCTTAAGAGCAACAACAGCAACAACAATCCTTTGGATTTCGATGGCAATGGCGGCGGTGGAGGGTTAGGGATTGTTGAACAGGGGAATGGGTTTGATTCAATTGGGGGAATTGGAGCTGGGGTTTCCAGCATTGGTCACAATTTGGGGGCTTTGCCTGATTCCGGGTTCCTCAGAGCTAATGGGAATGGCAGAAATGCTGGGGGTTTGGTGTCTCCCAGCTCTTCTTCTTCATCTGGGTTGGTTCATTTCAAACCTAATAATAATAATAGGGTTGGCAATAATCTTCCTTCTGCAATGCTTTATCATTATCAACAACAGCATCCACAACAGCAACAGGAGGAGAAACCACATATTCTGCATCCTTTGATGAACCAACAACAACTGAATTCTCATCAAGCGCCAAACTTTTTCATGCCTCTACCATTTGAGAATCATCATCAGCTTCCTCAACCCAAGAGGCAGAATTCTGGTGGTGGGATGGAACCCATTTCTCAAATGCAGCAACATCTTCAACAGCAACATCAGCATTTCGGGTTTCCGCCGCCGCAGCAAATAAATTGCCAAAATTACGGTCTTCTCGAGGTCGCCGTGACGGCACCACTGCCACCAGAATAACTCGCTGTGGGCCATCCCATTAGCCATCGCTTCTTCCCCGATTTGGACCGCACGCCCTCCTCCGATCATTGCGGCGGCGAACTCGGCCGCCTCGTTCGCAAACATAGGGACCAGCCGCAGCGTGGGCTCCAGCGACGACTGGTTGGTCCTCCTTTGGCCCCGTCGGCAACAGCGTTTACCTTCTCAACCCGGTGACCGAAGAGAAGTTAGCGGCAAGTTAGGTATTTTTTTTAAAATTTTAAAATAATTAGATGGAAAATAAAAAATAATTAAATTTTATTTTTTATTATTATTTTAATTGCCACGTCACTTATTTAACGGTCAACTATAAGAGTTGACCGCCACATCACTAAAAATTAACGGAGACTAACGGCAGTGACCAAACTTGAACTGGTAACTTAATTTAAGTGACTACGGATGAAATAAATTAATTTTAGTGGCAAACGTGAAATTTTTAAGTAATTCTAGTGACCAAATTTGTAATTTAGCCAAATTTAAGCAAATCACAAATTAACAATACAAATTGTTCAACATAAATCTAGAATACTCAAGGAAATGGAAGCAAATCACAAATTATCCATAAACAACATGATTAATTGAAAACTTCTTCCTTCTTGTCAATTAAGATTCTTCAATCTTCACTCGATAATATCAATTTCATTCTAGACAATTAGGAAAAAAAAAATAGACATGTCCCCACAAACATAAAGCAGATTAATTGTTTAAAATATTAAATATATCGGGAAAATTAATTATATGGATGTGGGCGGGTACCCATGGGGCGGATTTACCTAAATCCAAACCCAACCCAACCCGATGAATAGTGAATGGGTTTAAACCCAAACCCGGCCCAAAACCCATCAACACGGGTTTTACACGCGTTGACCGAGTTAGATCGAGTAGGGTACCCGTGGGTTCGGGTTTTGTTGCCATCCCTAATTTCCTACGACATGCATGGCAGTGATATGAGGTGATGTGTATTGTGATTTAGGAGATGAGTCGGAGGAAGGGGAAACCGAGAGAGACAGTGGAGGAGAGGGAACACGAGGATTCGCTTCTGATTTCTACTTTCGTAAAAAAAAAAAAAAACGAATCATGACCGGATTGATCCGATTCGGTATAACAGGATCAGACTGAATCCCACCCTACCGACGGTGGTTCTCAGAACCAAACCGAACGGGTTCGGTTCCGTTCTAATTACAAGGAATGCTGCTGATCATAGTTGTCACGCCGGCCGGCGTGCCACCGGTTATACCGGGTTCAACCGGTACCGGTCATAAAACCGGCGTGACACCACCGGTATGACCGGCATGATCGATATACGAATCTCTAAATAAAATGATCTTATTTTAGAGAATTTAATTGATAAAAATTATTTATTATTTATTTTATGAGTATAAAAGTTAAATATTGATGTTATTTGTTGGATTCAAGTATAAATGTTTAGGTATTGACGTTAAATGTCATGTTTAAATATGAGTATTTATAATTTTATTTGTAATATTGACCGGCATGAACCGGCACAAACCGGTATGTGCCACCGGTTGAACCATTCCACTTGCTAAACCGGCACACTGGCATAAACCGGTTTGACAACCTTGCTGCTGATGCATTCCGATCCGGGAATAAATACGATGATGCGCTAAATTGTTTTTCCCAAGGAGGTTCTGGTCACTGTCATTTTATGCACAGTGTGAACTCTGTATAGCACGTTTCCAGCCGTATCGCCCCAATTTTGTTATTTTCTTCTTTTTTATGACGCCACAAATATCACATTCAACCTCATTTTTGTTCCCCTTTATAAGTAAGCTAGATCACAGGACGATGAAAAGAATACAGACCAATCATGGCGGGAAGTTTACCCGATAACGGCGTCCCAGGTCACCATTACTCAAAACAGCACGATGAAGATCTCCACAATGGTCTTAAACCTGGTAAGTGAAATTTTTGTAACTTTCTTTTCAGTCTCAGCTAAAACCCAACGTTTTCGGATTTTGAAAACTCTGTTTTTTTTATTATGCAGGGGAGGAAGTGAACGACAGTCCAATTGAGCAAGTCCGGCTAACGGTTCCGATCACCGACGACCCAACCTTGCCGGCGCTGACTTTCCGGACATGGGTCCTGGGAATCAGCTCGTGCGTGTTCTTGGCTTTCCTCAACCAGTTCTTCGGCTACCGCTCCAATGCTCTGTCCATCACCTCTGTTTCGGCTCAGATTCTGGTTCTGCCGCTGGGGAAGCTGATGGCCGCCTCGCTGCCAGAAACCAGGATCAAGCTGCCTTTTTTCCGATGGTCATTTTCGATGAATCCGGGGCCATTCAATTTGAAAGAGCACGTGCTGATCACCATTTTCGCCAACTGTGGTGCCGGCGGGATTCTGGCGCTTGGTATTGTTACTGCCGTCAAGGCGTTTTACCACAGAAAGATTCATATCATGGCCGCTTTGCTCCTCGTCCAGACCACTCAGGTTTCTCCACTTTTCCCTTCTTCTGCTGTTTTCAAGGTTTAAGGTGCTGGAGCGCTAGGTAAGCGTTGGGACACTGCCAAGCGCCTAACACGTCTAACTGTCTAAGCGGTGCCTAGGAGACATCTAGATGTTTTAGCTAGAGTAACCGTTTTTAGTAGAAATAAAAAATTTATAGCATGTTTTTACTTTAGTTCAATTTCATATGTTAATCGTGTCTATTATTGACTAAGTGTCGTTTTTGCTTTATGAACGTCTAATTGTTTGCTTAGAACCTAGTCGAGACATTTTATCACTGCCCAGTGTCTAGGTGCGCCTATACACGTATTGAAATTACACCTTTTTGAACCCGGACTGTTTTACAGGTGACTTGTTTTCTGTTAGGAAATTAACGGTACATTCTGTTTCTGAAAATATTTAGTTACTTGGGTATGGATGGGCTGGAATGTTCAGAAAAATCCTGGTGGATTCACCTCACATGTGGTGGCCTTCAAACCTAGTCCAAGTCTCTCTTTTCAGGTACACCTCCTCTAACAAATTACCAGGGTGGAGATGATGAAAATTTGGGTTGCTGATATTAATGTGGAAAAAATCAAATTACAGGGCGTTACATGACAAGGAGAAGAGATCATCAGGAGGGCAAACCAGGCTGCAGTTCTTCACCCTCGTGTTCGTGTCGAGCTTCGCTTACTACATCGTTCCGAGCTACTTATTCCCTTCGATCTCGACTCTTTCGTTCATGTGCTGGATATGGAAGAACTCCATCACTCCTCAGCAGATCGGATCAGGGCTGAACGGGCTCGGGATTGGCTCGTTCGGTCTCGATTGGTCGACTGTAGCCGGGTTCTTGGGCAGTCCTCTGGCCACTCCTCTGTTTGCCATTCTTAATACAATGGCGGGGTTCTTCCTGTTCGTTTATGTCATCCTTCCAATTGCATACTGGAACAACGCATTCAGTTCAAGGAGGTTCCCCATGATTTCGCAGCAGACGTTTGACAGTTCTGGACAATTGTACAACATTACCAGGATTATCAACGAGAGGGAGTTCGACATCAACCTGGGCGAGTACGAAAGTTACAGCAAGCTGTATCTCAGTGTCACTTTTGCCTTTGTGTATGGGTTCAGTTTTGCATCTCTGGTCTCGTCGATTACACATGTTGCGCTCTTTGATGGGAAGTAAGTTCATCTTTTTCCAAAATTTCCAAACTCCAAAAGAAGAAGGGAACTGTTTCATTTTTTGCTGAAAAAATTCCTCTGATTTTGTGGTAACTATAGATCAATTTGGGAGCTGTGGAAGAAGACTTCAGCAGGAAGCAAAGACCAAGACACAGATGTTCACACAAGACTGATGAAGAAGAACTACGAATCTGTTCCGCAATGGTGGTTTCTAGCAATTGCAGCGGTGTCATTTGCACTTTCTCTGTTTACCATTGAAGGGTTTGGTGGACAGCTGCAGCTTCCATGGTGGGCGCTCCTTTTGGCTTGTGGCATCTCCCTCATCTTCACCTTGCCTATTGGGATAATTCAGGCAACAACAAATCAGGTCAGTCTAATTATCACCTAACATATTGATATGCCAATTATTAGAACGAATTGATTCTTAACATTTCGAAAACTCATCGAGCATGCATATGGTATTTTCATTGCAGCAAATGGGCATAAATGTGATCACAGAGTTGATCATAGGGTATATGTACCCTGGCAAGCCTCTGGCTAATGTAGCATTCAAGGCATATGGCTACATTAGCATGTCACAAGCTCTGAGTTTCTTAGCAGACTTCAAATTAGGGCACTACATGAAAATCCCTCCAAAATCCATGTTCTTGGTCCAGGTAACTAAAGAAGATTCATTTCTTTTCTTTTCATTCCATTACCTACCTTTCATACCATGTACACCTGACATTAAGCAAAATAAATTAATTCATGATTTTCACAGACAGTAGGCACGATTGTCGCTTCAACAGTCCGGTTCGCGACAACCTGGTGGCTTCTTTCGAGCGTCCAGAACATCTGCGACACGACGAAGCTGCCAAAGGGCAGTCCATGGACATGTCCAGGGGACAGCATCTTCTACAACGCTTCGATCATCTGGGGAGTGATCGGTCCTCTCAGGATCTTCAACGTCAAGGGGAACTACGCCAAGATGAACTGGTTCTTCATGATCGGCATCCTGGCTCCGATCCCAGTGTGGCTCCTGTCGCGCAAATACCCGGAAAAGAAGTGGCTCCGACTGATCCACATGCCCATCTTCATATCGGGCATGGGCGGTCTGCTGCCCGCGAAGCCAGTTCACTACCTGTCGTGGGGAGCAGTCGGGATTTTCTTCAACTACTACGTTTACAAGAGGTTCAAAGGGTGGTGGGCTAGACATACGTACATTCTCTCTGCTGCGATGGATGCTGGTGTTGCTTTCATGGCCGTGATGGTGTACTTCACTCTGCAGAGCAAGAACATCTATGGCCCGCAGTGGTGGGGTTTGGAAGCCGATGATCACTGTCCTCTGGCGAAATGCCCTACAGTTCCTGGGATTGTTGTGCCTGGATGCCCTGCAGTTTACTGATATCACTGGATTGGAAAATGAAAGTTCATTGGCTGCAGTGTTATATGTGTAATGCGATTCTTTATTGGAAATGGGAATTCGGATTCTGTATACCAAATGTTTACAGAGAGTTTCATTTCACACGGCAAAAAAACATCGATCTAATTATTCACATATCATGATGCGTCATTCAATCAAACCCCAAGTCTCACTTTCCTATTTCCCCCTGCATTTGCCTGCGACGTCTTCCAGTGGTAACAAGATTCGCCATCGTACAAGGACAGACACGGCCCGCTCTGTTTCACGAGCCAGCGGCAGTAGCTGCACCTCAAGAAATCCCTGGGCGCATCGTAGATGTCGAACCAGTGAACGCCTCCTCCTTCTCCCCATTCCATGGAGCAATTGAACAGTTCGGTCTCGAAGACGCTGTTTCGGAAAGCAAACTTCAACTGTTGGTGTGGCATCACCACTCGGAGGCCGAGATCGTAGTCATGGGACTGGCAGTGAACCTTCAACGGCCGATCTCCGTCGAGCTTGTTAACCACCATCACGGTCGTGTGCGGCGGCCTGATTAGATCTGACCTCGTATGGCACATGGTGGTTGGTGCCGATAAGAGAAAGAGCAACAACACCGCTAAGATGGTTTTTTCGTGCTTCATTATTGGTGTTTTTCTTCTTGGGTGGTTTGAGCTTCAATTTTGATTCGGGGGTTTTGAGGTTTACAATGTAATGTTGATGATGCCTTCTTCTTTTGTGTTGAATTGATGATCACAAGCTTTTGGTTGTGTGTTTTTATAAGAAAAGTTAAATGACTGGCTAGCTAGAAGATTCTTTTTGTATTCAGAAACTTTCATGTTTACGAGATATCATGCATGAAAATCGTAGGTTAGTCCGTGAATTTTGTAGGATTTGACTTTTTTTGTTTCACAATTCTCAACTTTTATGGTGGTTATTGATATCAAATGAAAATGAATTTGCTTATATGTATCTTTTTAATAATTTTTAGTATTATTCTCGGTTCTTTTTGCCAACACAATTTTTTTAATAAAAAATTAGTTTTGTTAGGGGGAATATAACGAACATGGTGATCAGAGTTGAACAACCAAGTCCAATGGAAGGAAAAACAATCTTGCACTAGAAAAGCCAAGTTGGACTTCATCAGCCCAGAAGAAAGAACGCACAAAGTCCACAACCTAGCAACCTTAGCCCAAAGATCAAAGTCACAACTCACAAAGTGAGGGCAATTGCTTGCATCCTTCCTTCCTACCAGCTACCCATTGCATGTTTTGCTCACACCTAGTTGCAACTATGTTCTAGACTCCCTCGCTTCACCTATTCAATTGTTCATATATTTCAAGCACTATGTTGATCTTTTATAGTCTAAACTTGCACCCCAGTTATATCAAAGAATTTCAACTAATTAACATCAACATCATCAAAGTCTTTGTTTACACTAAACTAGAATCGACACCCGCGGCTAAGCGGCAGGGACTAAACTTGCAGCAAAAATCATCCTACAGTAAGTAGAGTAGCGAGGAGGTGGTCGCCACTCGTACAACTCACCACTCGTACAACAGAATCTGTCAACCATAGACAGAAGCTACCACACAGTATTGAAATGTAAATGTCGCAAGCACCAATACAGGAGTTGTTGGCAACTCAATAGAATCATAGGGGTCTACTTCAGCTAGAACCAAGCAAGAAGCATCAAAGTGAAGAAGATAACCTAAGCATTTGAGGAAGAAATCTACCGGCACACTTAATCTGGATCAGTTTAAAGCATGCAGAACCACAGATCGTATCTGGCAGAGAATTGGTTTAGCCTATTGACATACATACAAAGTACAAAGGACGCAGTCAGCATGTCACCACGGCGGTCCTGAATTGCAGGCATGTTTGTCCAATTTATGTACACTTCCTACCTCCCCTAAGCTTCCAATTGTTGCTTCTGCAACACAAACACACATCACATCATCATAACAACAGAGATAGAGCAGAACAACTCCCGCAATGCACATCACATCAGCATACAACAGAGATAGAGCAGAATGTAACAATTCACTGAAATATAAGGAATTAGGAGTCACTAGATCGCAAGCTCGTGCTCCGTACGGGATATTCATTCCTTTTTGTATTAAGATTTGTGTTTTTATAAATATTATGTAATATGCTAATCAAAAAATATAAATTTGCATAATACAATGTAACAATATAACTTAAGATCATTTCTGAAAAGAGTGTGTTCAGTCAATTGTAAGACCAAGTTGAAACTATGAGAGTAAATGAACTCGATGTCCAATGAGACCTCAAATTTTTTTAAATAGTTAAAAAATTGACAAAAGTTGTCGATCGATAAAGATTTGAAAATGCCTCATTGAAATATGCTCGATCAACCGGCCTATAATTGAATAGTCAGAAAACTAACAAAGATTGTTGACGGAATGAAATTATCTAATAATTAAAAAACAATTAATGAAACCCTAAACCAAGGCTTTAATATACCAATTCAAAAATGAAAAATGCAACGCCGGAATACACAAGATTGCAATACGTGTGATTAGCCACCCTCTAGTTGAAAAGTGGGGAAAAAATTGTCAACTGATAGGAATTTGGAAATGGAAAAATCTTCAAAATATACGTGTAGAAATTGCGTGATCAGTCGATGTTCGTGAATTCGTTGATCTCCTCCGGGTAATGGATAATTGGCCAACAATTGAATGGTGATGGAGAATTGGTGAACAAATGAAAGGGATGAGAGTAAGATAAATAGAAATAGAGGACCTGAAAAATCAACAAAAGCATAGAAGAAAGGCAGAGAAAGTAACAACTGACTTCGTCTGTTCGATTACCACTTTCATCATATTTGATAGGAAATGAAAGATTTTCCCGTTGTTATCATGTTCATCCTCGAGCAAGAGATGTATGATTTAGAATACAAAATCAAATACGAATAAGAAGTCGGTTTGAGCACATGAAAACGATGAAAGAAAAGAAATGAAGAAGGAACCAATAAGAGGTTAACACTTAACATATGGATAAAAGAAATAATGAAAAAGATGAAAATTTATGTTGTCCTAAGAAGAATGACCCTAAAGTTCAAAACGATTACGAAATTTTTGCTTAATGAATTGTACCATTATAATTGTGGTTTTTATATAGAAGAAAGGCGAAAAAAGTAGCAACTGATTTCGTTTGTTCGATTACCACTTTCATCCTATTTGATAGGAAATGAAAAAATTTCCCGTTGTTATCATATTCATCCTCGAGCAAAATATATATGCTTAGAATACAAAATCAAATGCGAACAAAAGTTGGTTTGAGCACATGAAAATGATAAAAGAAAAGAAATGAAGAAAAGGAAAAAAGGGTGAACATATGGGTCTAGGAGAAGTAAAAAAAATTATGTGAAAAGAAATAAAAGAAGGAACCAATAAGAAGTTAACACTTAACATATGGGCAAAATAAATAATGAAAAAGATGAAAATTTATGTTGTCATAAGAAGAATGACCCTAAAGCCGCTTAATGAATAGTACCATTTTTTTTTACAAAAGATAATCGATATATTGATCAGAAACATAAATAGTTACATCCTGGAATTTAACTAGGCCAGAAAATCAAAATAACGACTCGCAGTCGGGTACAAATGAAGGTCCTTTTTAGCAACCAAGTGGGCTACCCTATTACTACGCCGACCTACAAACCGCACAGAGAAACCTCTCAGCGACTCCAAAACACCTACAATTTTTGTCAGAAGCGCCCCAACTCGGCTATCCCTAGTATCCGACTGGTTGATTTTATCAATAATCACCTTAGCATCCCCTTCAAAGCGCACCTCCGCAAACCCGGAATCTCAGCACCAGAGAATAGCCTCTCGGAGAACTAGAACCTCAGCAAACAATGGATCATCGATTCCCATGAATTGAAGCCCTCTTGCCATAAGAATTCCCCCAGAATGACTTTTGACCACCATACCTCCGGCCGAATGGGAAGCTGACTTGGTCGCCCCATCCCACATGCAGATTATAGGGCAAGCTAACTCATTCCTGGTACTGCTGATAAATTTGACTCATTAACGCTGGAAACCCAAACAGTTTTCCCTCAAAGACGACCCCGTTCCGGGACCGCCAGATCCTCCAAAGGACAGCGGTAACTGCCATGAACAGTTGGGGTTGCTGGATGATATTCATCAACCTTTTTAGGAACAAAGGAAAAGTGTGACGGGACAACCCTGACCCAAGTACTCCAACCCAACGTAATCCCATAAAGCTCTTGCCACAAGGCATTCAAGAAACAAATGCTCCAAAGTTTTGGAATCAGCCCAGCAAACGAGGATGGACCTGGACCTTCCTTTCTAGTAGAGCTTTCGTTGTAGGAAAGAGCTGATTTAAGATTCGCCAGAGGAAGACCCTCAGTTTTAGAGGAACAGGAGCTGCCCAATACCCGGATCCAGCTAGACCTATCCATCCAACTGGCTAACGAACGCCACCGACCATCCTTTTTGTCCAATTGGACAGCCAGATGATATGCCGATTTCACAGTGAATGACCCATCTGGTGTGCCATGCCAAATTAGCCGATCCTCTACATTACCACGTGGTAGATGAATTTCCTTAATGGCACGACAAGTGGGAGGGTCAAACCATTGGGCCAGACCAGCATCACACCAGCATCCTTCCTCCGCATTAATGACAGTAGCAACCGGCAAATCCCTATAAGCAGGCAAGACACAGGGTTTAAACATAGGGGCCAGAGGGTGCAGACACAGGACCCAACTATTCTGAAGTAACGAGGCCGTCTGACCATTCCCAATTTGTCACCGAAGCCCTTGGCTCAACAATTGGCGCCCAAAGAGGATGCTTTGCCACCCCCAGAAGGTACGGGACTGCGCCTTCGCCTCAAGGAAACTTCCCCACGGAAATTACTTCCCTTTATAAACCTGTGCAAGCAGCGAGTTAGGTTCAGTTAAAATATGCCAGCCAATCTTAGCCAACAACGCCTGATTAAAGTGCTCAAAACGCTGAAACCCCATCCCTCCCTCATGTTTACTGCGACACATGTTCCACCAAGACATCCACCCTCCACCAAAACGGAGCAACGTGATTATCCAAGATCCGGCAAAGTGAGAGGGGGAGTTTAAAGCAGGACATAACATGTAATGGTAGGGGTATGGCAACGGACTTTATCAAAGTCTCCTTCGCCGCCCAGGACAAAGTTTGCTTCTTCCAACCCTGTAGTCGAGCAAGTAATTTCTCCTCTAAGTATCAAAACGTCTCCACTTTGGACCTAGCTATCAGAGTAGGCAACCCCAAGTACTTATCATGGACACCCACCGCCCCCACACCCAGCACCTGTCCCAGAAATTCTTGATCAGGTATAGCAATATTCTTGCTAAAGCAAACTACTAACTTGGCTAGGTTGACCCTTTTACCACTCAGTTCCTCGTATTCATTCAGTACAGTGATCAAATTCCCACACTCCCAGAGAGATGCCCGAAGAAAAAAATAGGAATCATCAGCAAAGAAGAGATGCGAGATTCGAGGCGACCTATGCGCCACTTTAACTCCTTGCAGCTTTCGTTCAGTCACTGCTTTCCTCAGGAGAGTTGCGAACCCCTCAGTACAAAGTACAAACAACAGGGGAGACAGCGGGTCCCCCTGCTGAAGCCCGCGGGAGGACGCAAAAAAACCTTTAGGGGAGCCATTCATCATAACCGAGAATGAAGTCGATTTGAGACATTCGTGAACCCAGCCATGCCAAACTGAACTAAATCCCATCTTAGTCATCACTGCAAGGAGAAAGGGTTATTGGACTCTATCATAGGCCTTTTCCATGTCAACCTTTAGAGCCATGTACCCTTTCTTTCCCCATGACTTGATTTTCAGATAGTGCATTAACTCATGCCCTAGTAGAACATTGTCCACGATTTGTCTCTCTCGAATGAAGGCATTCTGGCCTTCCGAGATAACTTTTGGGAGGAGAGTAGCCAACCTTTCTGCCATGATCTTAGTGATAATCTTATAAACGAACTGACACAAGCTTATAGGCCGGAGTTGCCGCATAGATTCAACATTATCTTATTTCAGGATTAAGATCATCCAGGTGTGATTGAAACTACAAAGCATCTTACTCGTTGCAAATAACGAACAAACAGCTTCAATCACTGAATCCCCAACAATATCCCAAAAAGTTTTGAAGAATTTTCCAGTGAACCCATCCGATCCGGGAGCCTGCTTAGAGCCCATGGAGAAAACAGTGGTCCTCACTTCCTGCGGCAAAACTTCCGCCGTAAGACTGGCATTCATTGCCTCAGTAACTCGACAATCTATCGGGAGTTGATCCACTCGCTCTGACATGTTCTCCACCTGATTTTCAGAAGTAAAAAGAGTGTGATAAAAGTCAGTAGCAATGTCAGCCTTGCCACCCTCATCGGTTATCCATTCCCCTTCATTATTACGCAGACCAGCTACAAAATTATGTTTTCGACGAGCCCGCGTTAGCATATGAAAATACGATGAGTTTTTATCGCCTTTTTTGAGCCAGCGGACCCTCAATTTCTATTGCCAATAGACTTCCTCAGCCTCCCATTGCCTGTTCAATTTAGTCTCCAGAATCCTCACAGCATCCCAGTCAATGGGAGAGATTGATTTGATCCGTACAATCTCCGTCTGAAGGGTTCAAATATTTCGGAGCGAATTAGTAGTGCCTGCTCTACTCCAGTCATAAGAAAATGTCGTAGTTTCTTAAGCTTCTCCCAACCTCCTGCCAATCATAAGACACCATAGCTCTAACCTCCGGATTTTCCGCCCAGCGAGCGTCAAATCTGAATAAAGGTCTACTATGTCGTTCATAGGGTTTATCTGATAAAAGCAGAGCGCGATGATCAGACCCCTGATCCGTAAAGTGTTTGAAAAGAGTATCAGGAAACATCTCAGTCTAGGGATGTGAGCAGAGAGCTCTATCCAGGCGTTCCTGAATACAGGCACCCCCAAGTGAACGGATCCCCCAGAAACCCCGGGTCATGGAGTCCCAAGTCATAAATAAAATTCCGGAGATCATTCGCTTGGTTCGCATTCTAAGGGTTTCCCCCATTTTTTTCACTCGCTTTGAGAGTCACATTGAAGTCTCCCATAATCACATAGGGCACATCGAAAGAATCACAAACACCATGAAGTTGAGCCAGTTGGCTAGCTCTTATTGAATCAACACAGCTAAAGTAGACGAAGACCACGACATAGGACAAGTCCATTTCATTAACACGAGTACAAATGCAGAAATTCGAATGAAAAACAACCGAAGCATCAACTTTGGGGGCCCAACCGACAACAAGACTACCTGATGCATTGACAGCATCCATAAAGAAACAATGCGAAATATCAAATCCTAAACCTCGCATATGACGGGAAACGACTCTCCGCGCGATCTTGTCTCTGAAAAGGAAACAAGGTCCGGTTTATTCGAATAAACTAAACTTACAGTAGTTTGGAATGTGAGGGATGATCCAATTCCTCTCACATTCCAGGCCAACAGCCTCATTTATCTGGTTGGGACCACTTCAGGCTGGCTTCCTCCACCTTTTCATCATTCTCTGAAACTTCCAAAAACTGTTTCTTGGGAGTGGGACCCTCCCCCAACTCACCCTCGACCTCCTCTAGAAGCCGTTTGCGTCCCTCAAGAGACGGCTCTGGTAGATTAGATCCATACTCATCAATCACCGCTACAAGCGGTTCACCTTCCCCCTAGACACCTTGTGTCACAACAGCAACAACCTCTTCACCCAGGACCAGCCCAGATTCAAAGGCAGCAACTACCTGGTGAACATGACCCTTCCCCGCACGCCGAGCCCTCGCTCCAGCTGCTATAGGCGAGCGCTTCTTCAGCTCAATAGACTGGGCATCATCCTCAGAAAGAGTATCCATCAAGGTAGAGTTGCTCAAGCCTAGTACTTGATTCATGTCCTGTGGGCAGCTTGATGGTACCCCCGCAAGTTCTGACGTACTCGATGGGGCAGCCCCCTTTTCAGCTTGCGTTTCGGGACCGCCGCGTTCAGTTTCGGCTTGCTTACTGCAGCATCCTCCGACTGCTTACCACAAGCCACCTTCCATGGATTGGGGGCCCACTGTTAGAGTTTGGCCACCCTTTTAGTACTCGTATCGTGGCCAGCTTGTCCTTCGATTCCTCGCCCATCAGACACATCATACATGGCATGAGAGGTGACATTGGCGGGCTGCATGGGGGGTGATCCTTGTGCTTGGGCCGCCGGGTAAGACGCACCATGGTCCATGGGATACCACTCCTTGAAATTCAAAGTCGTCCTCACTGTCCTCTAGGAGGATCAGCCTTCTCCTTCGTCCAACATCAATGGCCTCCTGCAAGGAAGCCTTGCCCGCCGGTGTCTCCCGCGCAAGATTTCGTTCCCCAATCTTCGTCTCACCATCCTCCTCTGCCGTCAGTCCTTCATTGCGAGTCACAAACATCTTAGCACACCTAGCTTGATGTCCAGGGTTCCAGCGCGGCCCATTAACAGGACGAAATCTCGGGGATTTCGAGACTTTGATTCCCCGAGGGCTTCCAGGATGGGGAGATGGGCACGAGCTCGCCCAAGGAAGTATACCTCTGTCTCCAGCTGGTGCTCGATGGGAAGGCTCTCCCTTGGTTTTACAAATCATTGGTTGCTGTTCGAGTCCGTTTTCATCCCTACCCGATGGAGTTTGTACCCTCCCTGTCAATCGAGTGTTCCCAACATTTCCCCGCACTTCTTTATTAACCCAAACGATTTTCCTAGCGCCCCCAAATGGATGGTGAGCTTCTTCCTGATCATAAATTTTGCTATCCTGTTTCTTCGTCGACATATGAGTACCATACCGTTCCTTTCTGGCCGGCGGATCGAAGGAGCATTCTCTTTGTAAATGACCGATGCGGCCACAATGGAACAGAAACTAGGCAGGTGTTCATATTTCAGATTAAACCAGGAATTTCCAGTTTCATCGCAAATTGTCATGAGCTGAGAACGTAGAGGTTTAGTGAAGTCAATCAGCGACTTCACTTTGATAAAAAGCTCTCCCGTCTCTTTGCAGGCAAAAACTCCAGATTCCAGCACTTGCCCAATAGCAGCGGATATCATCTTTTGCCTACCACTATAACTATGATTTTTATATAAGAATTAAGAACTTTAGTTATGATACTATCGGAATGATGTAGGTGGACCTCTCCCGAACCACATACATGTAAGTTTTTGGTATGTGATATTACAAACGCGCAAACTTTTGACTACAAAAATGATTACTATTTTAACACTACAACAAATATGGCCTTTTGTGACCATTTCCATGCAACTAAACTTTTTTTGGTCGACAAATGCTTATTTTTTATGACCACTTATATTTTAGTAGTGAAAAGTTTGATGAATTGGTCACTAACTAAAAAATAGAGTTTTTATAACCAAATTAAAATTTATATACCAAAAATTTTAGTAATAAAATGTTGAATTTTTTTCTAACCAAAACTATTTGTCTATTGTCCTTAATGCTTTTTAAAGTAACTAATATTTTTGGTTACATAAACATGCTAAAATAGTCACTTACAAACAAAACAAATTTGTGACCAAATTAATACTAAAACTATTGGTAATAAAATAATAAAATATATTTTCTCACCAAATTTATTGGTTATGTTTGCTAAAAAAAGTTAATGATAGTCTATATATTTTTCTCTGGCATATTGTTTCATATCTTACAGAATTGAAAGTTTGTTCTCATAATTATTTTTCTAACTAAAATTGGGATTTGGAAACAGGGAAACCATTAAGGTCCGGTCCGCTGGTTCCTTCAAATCCCTAGCCGTCGCCGCTCACTCTTCCAACCAGTGAGATCGCGGCCGGCGCTGACTCCTTCTCCCAAGATATCGATGCCGACTCCTTCGCCCAAGAGATCGCTACCGACTCTTTCGAGTCCGCCGACAACTGCATTCCGCGAAGCCGAAAATGGACTCGAGAAAGATCCTCAGGCGCTGTGGAGGAGGAATCACAATGGCGACGATTTGAAATTGAAGTCGCTGAACTTCTGGAAATCAAGCAGATAGGCACCTCTCATCTCCGATTCAGTCTCCACTCATCATGCGATGCTCGCCAGGCAGCTCAACGACCGCGTCAAGAAGGCATTCAGTGTTCAGTTGATTGGTTACTCGTGCTGCGATGTTCGGAATCGCAGGTGACTTTCTCATCCATTGGAAGTTAACTGTTCGAGTTTCTTGGTTATTGTCATTTTTCTGGTGTGGTTTGGTCAGTTTGTCAATTTGCAATTCCATTTGCGTTCTACAAGGTCGGGGTTGGTGGCGAGAACTCCAGCGACGAAGGTGGAAGCGGGGGATTGGTGAACAATATAGTGAAGGGACCTTGGTCGCGCGAGGAAGATGCGTTGCTAGCTAAACTGGTGAGCAAGTTCGAGTGAGGAATTGGAGCTTGATCGATCGGGAATTTCATGTCGGTCCGGTAAATCTTGTAGGCTTAGATGGTGTAACAAGCTTGATCCTTGTTGAAACGCAAGCCTTTCACTGGTAAGCTTTTACGGCTCTTAAATCTCTCCAGAGCTCTCGCTCTCTGTCTCTGCCTTGCATTTTCAATCTGGAGGGGATTTCGGTTTTCTCCAAGGGTTTTTTTTTGTTCGATATCCATTTTGCTAGCGTTTCTTGACTGTGGGAGAATTTGCTTCGGGGTGTTGAACTGCCTGATTGTCTTAGTTTGCATCTTTGCTTCTTGGAAGTGATTATGGATCACGATGGTTTGAAGATCATTCAAGGTTGTTCAAATGGATTTCTCAGTAGCTTTGATGCCGAGGATGAGTTTGTTTTAGGGATGTAACATATTAAGATGAACTTATTCTTTTGGTCGTCTTCAATTGTCATTTTCTTTCGCCCATCTTCCATTGATTCGTTATCTATGTCTTCTTCAGACATGTTGTCAACAAGTTTCATGAAGAACAAACTGCCAAAGAAGCAATAGCAGCTGAAGAAGAAGGAGAAGGTGAGAAGGAGGACGAAGGACAAGCTGGGCAGATGTCAAAGTATGACGATGATCTCATCATTTGAAGGGTATTTTGACTCTCCTTTTCCCCCCCCCCTGCTCCTTCATGTGCTTGCGTTATTGATATGGTTTCAGTCTTGTTTCTCTAATTTAGCTTGTTTTGCTGCTCTGGGTTACTTGGGTGTTTGGACTCTGTAATGAGACTTCAGAGTTTAATTGTTTGGATGGATATGTATGGTTGTTAACTTCTAAGAGGAGGGTGATGATTCAGGGGCCGGCCGGCCAATGAGAAGTCACTGCCTTTGTCGGAGTTTACATTCGGTTGCTTGGTAATCAACATGCTACAGACTTTCCGATGAGTTTTTTGACAGCTTTTGTACTGCAGTTTGGATGTTGTACTTGGCCATTTGAAGTCGAGTTCATTTGGTAAGTATCTGTATCATCCATATGCATGCCTGATAAAAAGAAGGAATTATAAGCATTAACAGTTTTAGGGGAAGAAACATGATAATCTATCCAATGACATGTACTTATGTAGACTAGATGCTGCAACTAATGGTGTTTTAGGGGAAGAAACATATCAAGTTACCTGCAGACTGCTTGTCTATGGCGCTTGGTCTCGTGGATGACGCAATTAATGCATCAGCACTCCTCGTGATGTTAATGGTGTCATCGAAGATAACAGGTATTTATGCCCAGGATACATATATTGCTTAGATTTAGGTTTTACTAGCTACTAAGAGAGGACTTATGTTGATTCTACGCATCCTACACGAGTGAACTTCGGTGACTTTATGAAATATGCAGGGTGAACATAGTGGAGAGAACACGAGAGATGTCTTGGTTGACATCGATAGAAGGCTTGTCCTATAGCAAAACACGAAGCTTGTTTTGGTTCCAGAATGATTTTGAGAGGTAATTTCACTTTTGTCCTGTGAAATCCTTGTCTATTAGACTGGGCACAATCTTTAGCAGTCCTTTGTTGTTTACTTTGAAGTTTAACCATTTCCACCTAATGCTGCTATTGTTAGAGCTCTCATTTGCTTTCACTTATGAGTTGTATCAGTGGACTTAACGACTCTGCTTTTTGTTTTGATGTTAATAGGTAATCTTGGTTTGTTATGCTTCCGTGAAGCAGAAGGTATAACCTTAACTGGTAGCTGTGAAGGTAAGTTCCTCTCCATTAACATTATGGCATACCTCTTATGTAATGTATGAGTTAGATTAGATCATATGCCCAGATCTGATCGTGCTTTTAGTACGCCCAACTAGTGATTGTATATGGATTACCCAAGTGGAACTGGTTAAAGTGTTATTCCCATTGGCTTAGCCTCTAGGATGTGAACTGAATTTATCTAAATTTCAAAACATAAGCAAAATTGAAGTGCAGCAGCAGAGGCTCTTTGTTAGTTTTCGTATTTTTTGGTTTAGGTACACTCCAGTGGGGATTCTCATGAGTTTTTGGAATCTAAGAAAACTGTTGATTCATTAAGTGTGTGTGTCCTACTGCCTTGCATTTGTGTAATTGAATGATTTTCTAAAATGTGCTAGTCAAACTGTATGATGGAACATTGAGTAGTAGAGGTTACTTTGTGGAACTTGTCATGTCATTGACATTTAATGGTTTCAGGTTTGCCACCAATTGTATTTGGAGAAGGGCTGTTGCCATTTAATTCTAATGAGTGATTGGTATTCTAATGTAGAAAGCAAATGCCTCTAATAGGGTACCCAAAGAAAGAATCCCAAGTACAAAGCAACAAACAAGTATTGATGTTTTACAATATGTTCTTCATTGTTTTGCAGTATGGGGGTTGTTGTTCATCTGATCAACATGGCTAAAGCGCACAAGATGGAGTTACAGATCTTATTGTTATCATTTATCAATAGAATGACAAATTTTGGGTCAATGTAACAACTTGTTCCAAATAATTCCTTTTGACAAATGTAAATTAATGTTATGATATCAATATATTGATGCATTATGCTCTTTTTCAAACCAAAATCAATGGTCACATTTACTGCAGTATATCAGCTTTAGAGCATATAGTATCCATAAATCTCGGTTGGAAATGGTTACTTTGTGACCAATATAATATTGCTTCAGAACACGGAAATTGGCTACAAAATATTTTTAACGACCAAATAAATGGTCACAATTAGAACATATGGTAACCATAAATTAATGCTTCTGAGAGGAGTTTTATAACTAATACTTTTGGTTACTTAAGGTGATTAAATTAGTTTTGAATCATATTTTGATAACCAAATTTATTGGTTTTAAATAATTGATATTGTGACCTTTTCATTTGGTCGCTAGAAGAGAAATAAATTTGTTTGATTTTATAATATTTGTGACCAATTGCATATTTTTCATGACAATTTTGACAGGTTTTTTTAGACCAATAAATTTGGTCACATTAACATTTTATTATGTGACCATTATAGTATTTCGTCACAAAATCATATGATTTGTGACTAAATCCAAATATTGGTCAGAAATTACTTTTCCTAACGGGGCAAATGTGACCAAAGCTTCAACCAAAATAAATTGGGCGCTAAATTAAGTTTTGACGAATTTTTGACATTTGGTGACCATTTTCTTTCGTCACAAAATCCTATTTTTGTTGTAGTGTAAAATCATGCATTCAAAATGATATATAAAAAACTGAGGTTCACTCCAACCTATTTTTATCTCTATTCATAATCAAAATTAAACCAACTAACATTGGTTTTGGAATAGGGGATAATATAGCAATGGTAAAAATAAATATATCACATTTGAATACGTATTAAGGGGACATAACTAAAGGAACGGACAAAATAAACTACAACGATATCTAGGGAAAAAATAAGCCAAATATCTACTTTAGGGTTTGCTTCATGGATTCTACGGAAATCCACGATAATCATTGATTTAATAGAAATACATTGTTTGTTCATCATTTTTTGGGATCAAAGCTGTGAGACCTTTGAATTCATGAACTAGTAAGTTCCAAGTGTTAGATTTGAGATTTGGAAAATGCCATAAATCCATGATGAAATTTTACTTATATACTCAATCATGAAATTTTAATATTTCAAGGTTGCTCTCACATTTAGCTATTGTATATAATGAATCATTTAATTAACAACAAACAATAATATGATTATTCATTGTTGGCCGAGTTCTGATATATGATACTATTACTTGTGAAATAAACAAAGGACAAGGAATTGGTAAAGAAACGGAATTTATCTGTTTATTGTTATTGTTCTTGTGACAACACTATACTTATTACTATTGTTCTTGTTTGTGTACATATCATAAACATGAAAAACAAATGGAAAAATGTTAGTAAGATAATTTTGGACTTTAAGTTATAAATACAAAACGTTTAGATCCACGATAAAAACATTTCTACAAACAAATGATTGTTTCAAATTCATCATACTTCAAATCCTTGATACATCCTTGAATTTTTATATTACAAAACCCTGATATTTTTAAATCCATAAAGCAGAACCATTGTAAATTGATTCTCCAAATTTTTCATCATCCGTTTTGATGGACATAAGTAATTCAGAAATCATAAGAAAATTTACTAAGTCAGTAGTCACTTGCAATAATCAATTGGACAAACCTCTAGTGCCGGCTGCCGCATTTACCACAAACCATGATAAAACGGCACAGGATCTCACAATGTTTTTAGCCGCTTCCCTCTTCTGGGAGCTTATGCCCTGCATCTATCTATATGTAACTTGATTCTGATGCGTCTCTGAGAGCCAGAGCAAACCAAGAAACATGGGCAGCTTACAGCCGAATGTGCTCTCTGAACCTCAATCTCTCGATGAAGTTCACAGCTTTAACGCTGCCAAACTCGGTATGTCTCCGGTCTCCCGCCAATCTCGCATCCATTGCAAGTAGTTAACAACTTCATTTCCCCTGCATCAAGTACACTTATGCATATGTTTCTGCAGGAAAAGAGTTAGAAGAAGAAGTGATCAACGACAGCCCAATTGAGGAAGTGAGGCTGACAGTACCGATCACCGACGATCCAACGCTACCGTCACTCACATTTCGAACATGGGTTCTCGGGCTGTCTTCCTGCGTCTTCCTCGCGGTCTTGAACCAGTTCTTCAGCTACCGTTACAACGGTCTCTACGTCGGCTCTACTTCAGCACAGATAATGGTGCTGCCGCTTGGCAAATTGATGGCTGCTTCCCTCCCCACGAAACGTTTCGGGGTCCCGTTGACGGATTGGTCCTTCACATTGAACCCTGGGCCGTTCAATGTGAAGGAACACGTCTTGATCACCATACTCGCCAGTTCCGGTGCTGGTGGGGTCCCGGCTATCGCCATTGTTACCGCCATCAGAGCTCTCTACCACCGAAGCATCCATGTCGTCGCGGCGATGTTGCTGGTGTTCACCACACAGGTCTGCAGAACACTCTGTTTTTGTACTTTTTTTTTATTCAATTTGTTGCACATTTTCTGATAGGTTGAGAAGAAGAGAAATTATTGCAGTTGCTTGGGTATGGATGGGCTGGAATGTTTCGCAAATTTCTGGTGGATTCGCCTCATATGTGGTGGCCTGGAAGCATGCCGCAAGTCTCACTTTTCAGGTACTCTATTAATCAGGGACTGGAATCAGGATTTGAAGTTAAGAGGGTCAACCAAAATTTTAATTTCATGAAACAATGAAGAAAAATAATTAATTGCCGGAAATTTGTTCATCTATGAATTCTAGTAATGCGATTTAACTACTGAACAATATATATGTATGCTTGTCTAAACTCTGTCTCTGTTGTTAATAGAGTTTACTGGCTTGCCTCTAAACTCTTAATGTTGAAATGGTGAAAATGTGCAGGGCGTTACATGAAACAGAGAAGAGACCAAAAGGAGGACAAACCCGACTGCAGTTTTTCACCGTAGTGTGCATATCAAGCTTTGCTTACTACATAGTTCCAGGCTACTTATTCCCATCCATTTCGGCACTGTCAATCGTTTGTTGGATCTGGAAGGACTCTGTCACCGCACAACAGCTTGGTTCCGGGCTGAATGGGTTTGGACTCGGTGCATTCGGTCTGGATTGGTCCACGATTGCGGGGTTCGTGGGGAGCCCTCTGGCCACACCATTGTTTTCCATTTTCAACATCATGGCTGGGTTCATCCTGTTTGTCTATTTCGTCCTGCCCATCGCTTACTGGCAAAATGCGTACAGCGCGAGAAGATTCCCAATGCTCTCTCAGGGGACTTTCGACCGCTCTGGCCAACCGTACAACATTACCAGGATTCTGAACGAGAGGGAGCTCAGCATCAACCTTGTCGAATACGAAAATTATAGCCAACTCTACCTCAGCTTCACTTTTGCGTTTAACTACGGGATCAGCTTTGCAGCTTTCATGGCTACCATCGTGCACGTTGCGCTTTTCGAGGGGAAGTAAGTCGCAATTTTTTTCTAACTAGTAGGAAGGGATGTAAACCATCTTACACGCTATACCATTTCTCATGTGCATTTTTTTCAATGTTGTAGGTCGATTTGGGAAATGTGGAAGAGGGCATCAAGTGGAATGAAAGACCAATTCAGCGATGTCCATACAAGAATGATGAAGAAGAACTACGAAGAAGTTCCTCAATGGTGGTTTCTGGTGGTAATGGTCGTATCACTAGCACTTTCTTTCGTCGCGATTTTAGGGTTTGACAAACAACTCCAGCTTCCATGGTGGGGGCTCATTCTATCATGTGCGATTGCATTTGTTGTCACATTGCCAACCGGGATACTCGTTGCCTCTGCACATCAGGTTACACTACATAAGCTCTAGCACAAACTTATTCGTAATCATATAATCGCGTGCGTTAAGTCGAGCTTAACTACGTGCGCAGGGAATCGGGATAAACATAATCACGGAGCTAATCATAGGGTACCTGTACCCTGGGAAGCCAGTCGCAAATGTGACTTTCAAGACCTATGGCACAATTAGTATGTGGCAGGCGCTTAGCTTCTTGGAAGATTTCAAACTCGGCCACTACATGAAAGTCCCTCCAAAATCGATGTTCATGGTCCAGCTAGTAGGCACCATAGTTTCTTCCACCGTCCACTTCGGAACCACATGGTGGATCCTTTCGAGCATCCAAGGCATATGCGACCCAACGAAGCTACCCAGGGGAAGTCCGTGGACTTGCCCTGGGTACAATGTCTACTACAGCGCTTCGGTCATCTGGGGAGTGGTTGGCCCGCTCAGAATCTTCAACGTTCGCGGTGTGTACCCGCAGATGAACTGGTTCTTCCTGATCGGCACGTTTGCACCGGTGCCCGTGTGGCTGTTGTCGAGGAAGTTCCCGGAGAAGAAGTGGATCAGGATGGTTTACATGCCGATCGTATTGACGGGGATGGGCGGCCTGCTGCCGGCGAAGCCGATTCACTTCTGGTCGTGGGGAGTGGTGGGAGTGTTCTTCAACTACTACGTGTACAAGAAGCACAAGGGATGGTGGGCTAGGCACACGTACATTCTGTCAGCTGCGTTGGACGTTGGGATTGCTTTCATGGGTTTGTTGCTTTACGTTGCGCTTCAAAGAAAGGAGATATATGGCCCGCAATGGTGGGGACTTCAGGCTGATGACCATTGTCCATTGGCGAAGTGCCCTACTGTCCCTGGGATTGATGTCAAAGGATGCCCCGCCATTCAGTGATATGTAGTGTCATTTATATGTTGTGTACTCTATGCGCTTCTACCATGAGTTTTTGTTTCGTAATTTATGCTATTTACTAGAATGGAAGCTCGCGCTACGTGATGGGGCGTGAAATTATTGCAATATGAATATTGATCAAACGACTAACTGCTAACATATTCTTCGTTCTTCAATTAAAAATACAACACAACTTAAACATTAATATGAGGGATGCACATAGAGAAGATAATTGGAACCCAAAAGGCAAGATTAATGGATAGAGATAAATGTAGCATCAGTAGAAGCCGAGAGCCTTAACACCATATGGTACACATGGCAAGACCTCACGATCA